TTGCATTTCCATTTTATTGACGCATGGATCCGACAAAATTTTTCAAAGTCTTGATTTAATCGTCTTGTTAATAAATATGGAACAGGAACTGTTAATTGTTGTAATTGATTTCATAACTGTAATATAGAATTAATTGTAATAAGCCAACATCTTATTGATTTCACAGAATTTGTAATACCTTTTCCATCTTTTTTAATGATTTTTACGCATTGTAAAAACTTTATTGCATCAAGATGAATGATTGTTCGTTTGTATTCGTAAATGCTTTTTTATAAGGATTACTGCTGTAAAGTTTTGAAGAATTTAAAACAAATCGAATAATTTGTCAAATATTTTTATAAATTCTGCTGAGAAAATAGCCAATGCAGATAAAGAACCTAAGCTAACATATGTGTTTATAACTAAATGGCTTAATACACGTGTTACATATTTGACCTTCATTTTTTCAAAATTATTCGGATTAATATGACTATCTATCAATCTATGAGCTGCTCTAAATTGTGCCTGTTTATCTATCATATCAAAGTTTTCCATGAAGCAATTTTATCTATATAAACATAATTATGTTTAAGTAAGTTCCTAATTGTTTTTATGAGGTAGATCAAAAATATAATATATTTTCTCTTTGTCTATTGTAAAATATGGTTTCCTGTCATTAATATTCAGTAATTGACTTAATTGATAAAAGTTAGAACCATATCTATAATAAGATCAAAAATTTTCAAACCAATGCTTCTTAGTTTTCTAATCGCTTCTTGTATAATTGTGAGTAAAATAGATGCCTTTATTATGGAATTTAAAAAGAAATAACTTAATGATTGTTTCCATGATTGACAAGTGCCTTTAACCATAATCACTACTACATTACATGCAGGTAACTGCGAATAATTTTTTGAATAACCTATATCTTCAAAATTTCTATAATTTCGTCTCTTAGTTAGATTATAAAATAAATGTGCTTTTAAAGACATTTCATCTATACAAATTACGCAATATTTATTAATTGCTGATAAATTTTTAATCTTACATTGTAACATTTGAAATATGTTTTCTTGTAATTCTGGACTTATATAACAGTTTTGTGTAAATCTTTTTAGAATCGCACAGTTAGGTAAACAAAACATTTTATTTGCTAAATCTTTATATACTTTGGGACTTGAAAAATATATAGATAAACAAAATTGTTTGAATGAAGTACTACCATATCTTCTACCTTTTGATTTATTTTGGAAGAGACGTATGCATTTTTATAAATTCGGATGTCTGTTTTGGCAAATATTTTTCTAATAACGTATCTAATGTGTTTGTTACGTCCAAACCCTTGATAATTTGGTCAAGGAGATAATGAGAGAGAATGGAGAGGATATGGAAGGACGGTCAGACTCGCACGGAGGCGAACACCTGTGAATCGTACGCATCTTTTAAGTCCCGGAATGTGGGTCAACGTCCAAAGAGACACTATGACATCTGTTTCACTGGACAGTGCGAACGTCTGTCCTATCTTTTCGGTCAAGGAACTTAATCCCTTTGACCCGGGAGTGGACCTCGTGCGATCTCAAGTATTCGAGGGAAGTGAATACGAGGGGTGATTTTTAATAAAAACAGAAGAATACCTTACGTTACATTTATTAACAAAATAAAAAGGTTTTGTACATTAGCTTGTCTTTTACATACATTGTGAATGCGTATATGTGTGTGTGTGTATGTGTGTGTGTGTGTGTGTGTGTGTATGTGTGTGTGTGGAAGGGTTAGAAGATAGGGGGGGGCGAGGAAAATAAATCGTGGCGTCTGTAGGACGTAACATGTTAATGTCTTCTACTTTTGCTTTTTTTGCTTGTTGTAGCTCTGATTCTAAATTGGCTATCTTTCTTTTAATTTCTTATCTATTGATAAAGATGTACTTTTTGTGGAGATGTAGAAGATAATGATAAAGGCGTTTGTGTTCCTGATTCTGATACATTTGATATTTTATAATAACTATTGTTTTATGCTGGACCTTATCATCGATTGTAATCTAATACAGTATATTCTTCTTGCGTATCTTCAGTATTTAAAATATTCACGCAGTGTGTTTCATTTAAGCTACTTGAACTTGTTTCTTCATTGTGAAATTATTATATTAGGTGTAGTAAAAAGAAATCCCGCGTTCGCGAGATACAGATTACTAAAGCCATCTATTAGAAAAATAATGGATTTCTTTTTACTACACCTAATATTATATATAATGTTATTGCCATAATCATGTTATTTTAATACTATTGGAGAGATTTCCAATTGATCACATTACGAACATACTCATTCATAACAATGTCTAGAGTTTTTTTGTTATTGAAGCGTGATGAGAGTATGATTAATGGCTTGTGTCCAATCATGTGAGCAAATGATAACCATTCATGTCATTATATTGTTGAAAAATAAGTTACCATTATTTGTTATAATATAACATGGAATGGAATGTGGTTGCAATTTTGTTTTCTCAAAATTTAAAAACTTGAAAACAATTAGAGTAGATCACTGATCTTCATACTGATCACTGTTTAAGCTCGAACTGTCCGAAATAATAAAATAAAAAATAAAATTAGATTGCTTATTTTTTTAAACTTCGAATTATTCGAATAGATCAAATATTCAACATGTTCGAATCTTTTGTCTGAACCCTAATTAATATATCAGACGGCTCTCCTATGTAATAACACATCGGAGTTTCGTTAGGTATTTATAAGCACTGTTGATCTCTTGTCGTTGAATAAGCTTCTGTTTCTCACCTCGTGCTGTCCCAACAGAAGTTGCTATAACAAGATCCTGCTATTTTGTATATACTGTAACCGATGAGCAAGTGATTCATTAATTTTTTGTTTTTGTTAAAGAAGAAAAGGAAAGATAGTAACAATTTTTTTATAGACTAATGTGCTAAATGTACATATAAATATACATACCTATTTTTATTTAAACATATAATAGCGAACCCTACTTAGAACACGTATATTGGGAACAACGTTTTTAACAAACGGATATATTAATTATACGTGTAAACGTTTTCGTTTAAATAGCAAGTCTTAATTCTAAATCTAATAGGAATTTATTTGTCATTTAAATTTTAATAAATACATAAAAGTACATGAATGTACATGTAAGTACAATTTAGAAGATGAAACACATGTGTAATAATGTCACAATATGTATAACTGAATGTAATTGAATGTGCATATTATTTATAATATTGCAAATTTACATAAAATTTCTATATTTATTGATATCGTCCTACAAATATCTATCTTGGACATATTCAGGATGATTCTGAAGACGACTTATGATATCTGAGTTCGAAACGTAATAATTTTGAACTTTCAGTTCTGAAGTGGGTTCAAATAGTTCGAACATACATTCGGTCCGAATTATTTAATGTTCGAACTTAAGATTCGAACTGTCCGAACTATCAAATCGTTTGATATTTCCGAGCATTGATATGAATATGGCAACTACTTTAAGATTTGCCAGAGATATTACACATACCTGTCAAACAATTTAAAACTTATTTATTCACCTATGTACACACACCATCTAATTCGTATAGACTCGATGCTCCGAGAAGCGAAATGTACAGCCTACGATGAAGTACTAGCTAAGGATGTGACAAACTGTCCTGGCTGCCTCAAACAGTTTCAGCAATCAGTAAAGATTCCTATATGAAAACGTTTAGATTTAAGATGGGAATTACCAATAGTCAGCATGCTAGCCAGCAACATGACTTTGCCTGATTGCTTAATGCACAACATTGCATAACCAATGACAAACAAGTGGTTCTTCCCTTTTTCTGTCATCATTGATGCTTATTTCCTTCAGTTCCAACAATTGAAATAACCAATTATACGAAGGCAAGCAATAAGTTCTTAGAAAATCTGTTAGAGGACACTCTCAGTGCCATGTCACATTACTTTTTGACAAGTAGCATCTTTTTTTTTTTTTTACTTTTTTTTATAACGGAGGGGAAATGCCTGACGCATACCCCGAGCCTCGGGGGAGAGCCCGGGGTTATGTGGGGCTTGCACCCACTAAAACCCCTCCGAGTGTCCTTACCTGGCCTTGCATGAGGAACTCCCAGGAACGCGTGCAGCATACTTCTGGGAGTCCCTCAGGCCAGTCGGCTTATTGCCGACTTCTATTCCCCGGGGATTTTTATGGCGTCGTCTGAGAGACGACGTGACCCCGGGCGGTGCTTGGCACCTTCGACTTTATTCGGGCGCTGGGGGGACACCACCCCCTGCGCCCGCCGCCCCGGTTGGTGTTGGGGGGCTGGATCGACCCTAGGGTCGGCAACGGACAATCGAAAGTAGTTTAGAGTAAGTAGTAGTAGTTTAGTTAAGTTTAGAACGATTCAATTCGCACACGCGAGCGCCGCACTCCGATGAATACGTCACGCGCTGTCACCAATCCCACGCACGGATTTTCTGTCGCGCATGACTGTTACGTTGAACGTCGTTAGAAAAGAATCCAAAGCGCCAATCAATTTTATACACCTAATGCCACGTAATAATTACAATTGTGGCAAAATTTTATTGGATTTTTCCCAAGAAGAAAGCTCAGGCCGAAAGCAATAAATGCTTCGATCTCGCCGGCCTCCTTCTTAGAGTCTAAAAGTTCTTAGAGTTCTTAGAGTCATAATCTCGCTTCGTAAAATCGCCGTGCTAACCGCTTAGTGAAACCGCTATAAAACGAATCTTTCGAGAAGTGCCGAGAAAATCGCCGAGATTTTCCATCACCTCGATTCCAAACATAATTTGGAGAGGGTGACCGCATTTAATATTCTGTTAATCCAATATTTAATTAATTATATTTTCTGACTTTGTAACTGTGCATATTAAAGAAAATTCTTTTGTTAAAT